GTCCATCGATTTGGACAGTGTTTGAGTTGGACATTCTCGCCCATATCAATTTTCTTTTCTCTCGTAAAATCTCACGCGTTTAAAAATGCGCTCATTTCGCGTTTTGGGTGCGGGGATCCCAACCAGCGCTTAGCTAACTTTTTAAATGTGCAACTTTTAGCCTTCCTCCAAATCTACACACGTGTATTTAACTTGTGGAAGTCTATCGATTTGGACAGTGCTTGGGTTAGAGATTCTCGCCCATATAAATTTTGTTTCCTCTAGTAAGTTTTCGCGCGCGTTTCGAAATGCGCCCTAGTCGCGGTTTTGGTGTCGGGATCTCAAACTATGCTTACTGGACTTTTTAAAGATGCTACATTTGGTTCTTTCTCAAATCTACACACGTTTATTTCACTTGTGGAAGTTTGTCGCTTTGGACAATGCCTGGGATAAAGATTCTCGTCCATTTATATCTTTTTTTTATTCGCGTGTTTTTGCGCGTTTAGCGATGCGGCGCAGTCGCGTTTTTAGCTTGGGGATCCCAAACTATGCTTAAGGGGCTCTTTAAAAATGCCTGTTTTAGCCCTCCACCAAATCTACACAAACGTATTTCACTTGTGGAAGTCTATCGATTTAGACAGTGCTTAGTTTCGACATTCTCGCCCATATCAATTTTCTTTTCTCTCGTAAAATCTCGCGCGTTTAAAACTGCGCCCATCTCGCGTTTTGGGTGCGGGGATCCCAACCAGCGCTTACCTAACTTTTTAAATGTGCAACTTTTAGCCCTCTCCCAAATCTACACACGTGTATTTAACTTGTGGAAGTCTATCGATTTGGACAGTGCTTGGGTTAGAGATTCTCGCCCATATCAATTTTGTTTCCTCTAATAAGTTCTCACGCGTTTCGAAATGCGCCCTAGTCGCGGTTTTGGTATCGGGATCTCAAACTATGCTTAATGGACTTTTTAAAGATGCTAGATTTAGCCCTTTCTCAAATTAACACAAGTGTATTTTAGTTATGGCAGTCTGTCGCTTTGGATAATTTTTGGAATGCAGATTCTCGCCCATTTATAATAATTTTCTCTCGTTTGTTTTCGCGCGTTTTGAGATGCGCTACACTCACGATTTCGGTGTCGGCATCTCAAACTATATGCTTACTGGACTTTTTGAAAATGCTAGATTTGGCCTTTTGTCAAATCTACACACGTGTATTTCAGTTGTGAAAGTCTAGTGATTTCGAAAATGTTTAGGTTGGAGATTCTCGCCTATATCAACTTTTTTTTTATTTTGTAAGTCTCGCTTAGCCTTCCCCCAAATCCACACACGCGTGTTTCACTTGTGGAAGTCTATTGAGTTGGACAGTACTTAGGAAAGAGATTCTCGCCTATACCAACTTTCTTTTCGCTAGTAAGTTCTCGCGCGTTTAGAGATAAGCCACACTCGCAGTTTTGGTGTCGGGATGTTAAACTATGTTTACTGGAACTTTTAACGATGCTAGATTTGGCCCTTTTCCAAATCTACACACGTGTATTTCACTTGTCGAAGTCTGTCTCTTTGGACAATGCCTGGGTTAAAGATTTTCGCCCATTTATATCTTTGTTTCCCTTGCGTGTTTTTGCGCGTTTAGCAATGCGGCAAACTCGTGTTTTTGCTGTGGGTATCCCAAATTATGCTTACGGGGCTCTTTAAAAATACTAATTTTTGTCCTTCCCCAAATCTACACAAACTTACGTTACTTGTGACAGTCTATCGATTTGGACTTGTAGAAATTTATCGATCTGGACAGTATTTAGGGTGGAGATTCTCGCCCACATTAACTTTCTTTTCTCTCGTAAGTTCTCGCGCGTTTAGAGATGCGCCCCACTCGCGGTTTTGGTGTTGGGATTTTAACCTATGCTTACTGGACTTGTCGCAGATGCTAGATTTGGCCCTCTCTCAAATCTACACACGTGTATTTCACTTGTGGTAGTCTGTCGCTTAGGACAATGCTTGGGTTGGAGATTTTCACCCATTTATATATTTTTTTCTGGTGTGTTTTTGGGCGTTTAGAGATGCGCCACCCTCGCGATTTCGGTGTTGGCATCTTAAACTATGCTTACTGGACTTTTTGAAGATGCTAGATTTGGCCCTTTCTCAAATCTACACACGTGTATTTGACTTGTGGAAGTTTATCGATTTGGACAGTGTTTAGGGTGGAGATTCTCGCCCATTTAACTTTCTTTTCTCTCTTAAGTTCTCGCGCGTTTAGAGATGCACCACATTGTGTTTTAGGTGCGGGGATCCCAAACAATGCTCACCTAACTTTTTAAAGATGTTACTTTTAGCCCTCCCCTAAATCTACAAACGTGTATTTCACTTTTGGAAGTCTATTCATTTTGACAGTACTTGGGAAAGAGATTTTCGCCTATATTAACTTTCTTTTCTTTGCTAAGTTCTCGAGCGTTTAGAAATGCGCCACACTCGCGGTTTTGGTGTCGGGATCTTAAACTATATATGGGCGAAAATCTTTAACCCAGGCATTGTAAAAAGCGACAGATTTCCATAAGTGAAATACACGTGTGTAGATTTGAGAAAGGGCCAAACCTAGCATCTTTAAAAAGTCCAGTAAACATAGTTTAAGATCCCGACACCAAAATTGCGAGTGTGGCGCATCTCTAAACGCGCGAGAACCTACTAGCGAAAAGAAAGTTGATATAGGCGAGAATCTCTTTCCCAAGCACTGTCCAAATCAATAGACTTCCACAAGTCAAACACACGTTTGTAGATTTAAGGAAAGGGCTAAAAGTAGCATCTTTAAAAAGTCTAGTAAGCATAGTTTGAGATGCCCACACCGAAATCACGAAGGTGGCGCATCTCTAAACGCCAGAAAACACACAAGAGAAAAAAATATAAATGGGCGAGAATCTCCAAATCAAGCATTGTCCTAAGCGACAGACTACCACAAGTGAAATACACGTGTGTAGATTTGAGAAAGGGCTAAATCTACCATCTTTAAAAAGTCCGGTTAGCATAGTTTGAGATCCCGACACCAAAACCGCGAGTAGGGCGCATCTCTAAACGCGCGAGAACTTGCGAGAGAAAAGAAAGTTGATATGGGCGAGAAACTCCAACCCAAACACAGTTGAAATCGATAGATATCCACAAGTTAAATACACGTGTGTAGATTTGGGGGAGGGCTAGAAGTTGCATCTTTAAAAAGTTAGATAAGCACTGGTTGGGATCCCCGGACCTGAAACGCGAGTGTGGCGCATCTCTAAACGCGCGAGAACTTAGGAGAAAAAAGACAGTTGATATGAGCGAGAATGTCCAACCTAAGCACTGTCCAAGTCGATAGACTTCCACAATTGAAGTACGTTTGTGTAGATTTGGTTGAGGGCCAAAACTAGCATTTTTAAAGAGCCCCTTAAGCATAGTTTGGGATCCCCACACCAAAAACGCGAGTATGCCGCATCGCTAAACGCGCGAAAACAGGCGAGTGAAAAAAAGATATAAATGGGCGAGAATCTTTAACCCAGGCATTTTCCAAAGCGACAGACTTCCACAAGTGAAATACAGGTGTGTAGATT